ACTAATGTGAAGCAAAAATAGTAAAAAAAAAAAAAAAATTCATTTTTTTAATCAATAATCATTTTATAATAAAAGTTGTCACATGTTTATGTCCTACATATTAATATGCTCTTGACTACTTAGGTACATCTAGGTCAGTGGTTCTCAACTGACTTTCCCACCTGGGAATATTTCCAATATCTGGAGACACACTGTTTGTCTCAACAGGGTTAGGGAGGATCCCACTGGCATCTCATGAACAAATGCCAGAGGTATGTCTAAACATCTTACAATGCAGAGCATGACCCACCCCCCACCCCAAACACACACACTGAATAAATTTTGATCCCAAATGTCAGTAATGCAGAGGTTGATGTACCCTGCTCTAATTCTCCATGCTTCATTCAGAACTACATTCTAGGAAAGAACTGGCAGCATGTGCTACTTCCATCCCACCACTACTCACTCTTCAGCTGTTGTGCTCTGTCCCCAACACTAAAGCCCACAGATACTGTCTATTTGACCATCATTTGGGATTTGCATTGTGTCAACCACTTTTAGTACTCTTGTGGTTTGTTTGTTTGTTTGTTTGCTTGTTTGCTTGAGAGAGAGTCTCGCTCTGTCACCCAGTCTGGAGAGAAGTGGTACAATCCCAGCTCACTGCCACCTCTGCCTCCCAGGTTCAAGCGATCCTCCCGCCTCAGCCTCCTGAGTAGTTGGGATTACAGGCGCCCACCACCACACCTGGCTAAGTTTTGTATTTTTAGTAGAGTCGGGGTTTCACTATGTTGGCCAGGCTGGCCTCAAACTCCTGGCCTCAAGTGATCCACCCACCTCGGCCTCCCAGAGTGCTGGGATTCAGGTGTGAACCATCACACTTGGCCATACTTTCAGTACTTTTTAAAGTATTCCTTGGTTATTCTTGCCACTTCACTGCCTATATTCTATCACTCTGATACTTCCACTGAGCCTGACCCTTTTGCATGAGCATTTCTTGCCTTGACCACCACTAAATATTGCTGTTCTGAGCACTGAGATTGGACTCAGCTCTTATTAACTGCGCCCTGAACACAGGCTGCCTGGCAATCACATCCACTTCTATATACTTCCGTGGCTTCCACACCTATCTCGGAAAGACCTCTCCCCTCAACTCCAGAAGCTGTGTCTTTAATGAAACTTGAGATATTTTAAGTTTACTGTTTCCTTGGTATGTCAAACAATACAGCTGAAGTTTACCATACTGTTCTGTTCCCTAAAGTTAGTTCTCCCCTACCTACCCTCCACCTCTATGAATGGTAGCCCCATATAGCCAGTCACTCAGCCAAAAAACAAAACAAAATAAAACAAATCTAGTAATCATCCCCTACTCCTCCAAAATGATCACAATGTCACAGAGTTTTACTTCCTAAGTATGTTTCCCACTGTTTCCTCCTTTCAATCTTCACTGCTATGTTCAGTTCAGAATCTAGCATCAACTCTTTTCTGAATTATTTGAGTTACTTAACGCCTCTCTGACTTCAACCATCATACCTTTAATGCAATCTTCAATTCTCTTTCAAAAATTCTCCATTCTCATAACAAAATAGCTTAGATTTTGATTCAGCATATGCCTACCTTTCCAATTTACTCTGACCCCAACCTCATATCCAGACACCTGGCAGTTCTCCAAATACGCAGTGTTCATTTAAGCTTCCATTCTTTCTACCAGAATGGTCTTTCACTTCAATTTCCACCTGGGACATTCTTACATGACCTTAAATCACAGCTAAAATAATGTATCCTCTTAGAATCATTTCTTAAACTTACCTATCTAGAAAGAATTACATATCTTCCCTCCGGATTTGCATAGTATTTTTTACATGTCTTTATAAAGGCTTTATTGTTTGTCTATTTAGTATAGTAATTCTTTATTTACATGTTTGTCACCCCAACTAGAATGTGAGCTCTTTGAGAACACATTGGAATGTGTCTTCATTGCTATTCCTTAACACCTCTGTCAGTGGATATCTGCCTTCCATTAATAAACTAAGGGAATGTACCACAATGAGTATTTATGTTGAGTTTTCTAAAATATGAAGGCCAATTTAACATAATCTGGAGTTGTTCCTCTACTGCTGTTCCTCTGTCATTTTATAAAAATACACATTAGTTACCAATAGGTACTGAAAAATCACAATGCTTTGACCCAAATTTCCATATTAATATGTTTTATGAAATACATAAGGAAAGATAGAAGACTGATGAGCTAATGGAAAGAGATGAGCAACATATAAATGAATATTATTTGACCTTGTGATGCCTCAAATGGAATGAACTGTTGACATGGCATTAGAAAAAGGAATTTTATTCACTACCTAATCCAATTTTCAAGCCTTCTTGTTTTCCTCTCTAGGTCATGAGTAATTCAAGCATTTCTTAAAGCTCACTTATCTCAAAATAAAAAAAAATTACTGTCACATTACACACACACAAAAATCATGGTTTAAAATATTCCCACTAAAACAGTTTGATTCATTATTAATGATGCAATTACAAAAGAAAGCAATTCTTTTAGATGAGAGAATAAAATGACTGGTCAATTTTATATACTTTAATTTTGAAAAGTAAAATTTGGTTAAGAATTTAAACAGGTTATTTGCTGCTGAGTAGATAAAATTTTTAAAATTCTGAAAAATTAAAGTTTCTTAATTTTTATGTATTTAAAAAAGAACAGATTTCATTTAGAGTGTTTCTTCAAATACGACACAATTCCCTAAAAATAAAAATTAGAAGATTCAGGTCCTGGTCTAGCAACCCTATTAATTTATTGTCTGAATCTTGGTCACCTAAACTTCTGGGGCATCATTTTCTTTATCTTGAAAATGGGAGAATAATGCCAATCATATTCACCATAAAAGGGTCTGTTGGAGTAAAAATCAATAAAATTTGGTATTGAAGTATTTCAATATGTTTGAAAAGTTTCCAAAATTAGATATTTCAAAATAAAAATGGAACAGGTATGGATATTTGCATTCTTGAATTCGTGTGTGTGTATTTCAAATTTCATTAAACTGCATTTAATTTAAGGGCTTTTTGAAGTATTATTTTATAAAAATAAAACTATTTGGTGGCCAGTACAAAATCCCACTGTTAGCTAAAGTCGTAATGCTCGTATCTCAAGGCACTTCAAAAAAAATAAAAAATATGGGTCTTAGGATTCTCCTAGTCTTTTCCTATTGGAGTTAAACATTTCCAGAATCTGTGGGTTCCAGGTTTCTTAGCAGAAACTATAAATCAGACATAGATGGCTGAGAACGAAAAACATCATTGGAATAGTTGTGTAAGAGACTGTAGGCAAGTGGATCACCTGAGGTCAGGAGTTCAAGACCAGCCTGAGCAGCACGGTGAAACCCTGTCTCTACTAAAAATACAGAATTTAGCTGGGCGCGGTGCCTGTGATCCCAGCTACTTGGGAGGCTGAGACAGAAGAATTGCTTAAGCCCGCGAGGCAGAGGTTGCAGTGAGCCGAGGTCACGCCATTGCACTCCAGCCTGGGTGACAGCGGGGGACTCTGTCTCAAAAAAAAAAAAAAAAAGTATAATTTTGTTTACCGAAAGAAAGACATGAGTCCATGAGCTATTATTTAGGAGAAATTATATATAGCTATATACATAAGACTCCAGCATCCTGAAATCTCCCAATTCTCTTATCTTTGAAGATGTACATGACAACAAGGAAGCTGAAGAGTGCAAAGATTTTAAGGCATAATTGTTGCCTTTTTTTTTCTTTGAGAGGGAGTCTGGCTCTGTGGCCCAGGCTGGAGTGAGCGGCGCCATCTTGGCTCCCTGCAAGCTCCGCCCCCCGGGTTCCCGCCATTCTCCTGCCTCCGCCTCCCGAGGAGCTGGGACCACAGGCGCCGCCACCGCGCCCGGCTAGTTTTTTTTTGTATTTTTAGTAGAGACGGGGTTTCACCGTGTTAGCCAGGATGGTCTCCGTCTCCTGACCTGGTGATTCCCGCACCTCGGCCTCCCAAAGTGCTGAGATTACAGGAATTGTTGGCATCTTATTCGCAGTTTATTCTAGATAAAATCTTTCCTCAAAACAGATAACTTAATGTCAAACTTTTATGGTATTGTTTACATTATAACCCCAAACCCTCAGTTACAAATTAGGAAAAAAAAACACTACCCTATTTTTAATTTTGTCTAGAAAATCATCCATGAAGTTACGGAGGCAATGTTTAAACCGATGGAAAACATTGATATCTTGATTTACCACTGCTATTGGCGCTATTTGATGAGGAAATAAATATATAAAAACAGCAACAGTAAGGCAACTCCTTAGCTATTTTGATTACCAAGATTGAGTAGAAGTGAGAACCCTCCCATGTATGAACATTCTGTTCGCACAGACGGCAGATCTCCTCTCCGATGAGCGTTAAGTGAATAAGTAAATAAATAAAGTATAACTGCTGTTATTGTTGGGGTATTCTCCTACCCACACCTAAGGTAATAATTCCTGAATTGGAAGAGTAGATATAATCTACAGAATAAAAGAATAGGCTCTTTTTAATGTTGCTGATAAAAGTTGGATTTCGAAGTTAATGTATATATTTATATGTGTGTGGCAGGGTGTGTTTATCAATAATTACTTATATATAAATTGATAACAGACATAGGTACGATATTGAATGTATGCCTTGTATTTGGTGTCATGCTACACATCAACTTTTCATTTTAACATAGCCAATTTTAATACCTGATTATGTCTTTCATTAATAATTCAAATCTTAAGTATGAACAGCCTCATTGCCTCTGTGTTTTCTTATAATAACATATTGGCCATCTTGATTTCACATAAACAAATTGACTACAACACCCTGGCTTGATATTATCTTGACCAGACTTCTTTGAAGAAGACCAAGTAAAATCATGCAATGTGCTGATTGATTCTTTAGGTTTTAGCATCTATGGGAACACATCGAAACTTACTTGAAATAAGTAAAAGTAAATGGGCATATGAGGTTCACTATGTTCACTTACATGCCACTTCCAGAGATGCATTTCGACTCACTGCTTCACCAAGATAGTTCCTTGCAACACAAACGTAGCTTCCTTCATCAGGTTTACTTCTGCGCCCATGCACGATGCGCAAGAAGAATAAGGATCCGCTGGGCAGAAGCATCCTGTGGGACCGGGGATCGTCCTTGTCAGTCTCCACTCGCTCCCCATCCTTGTACCACTCAATGGTGGGCGTTGGCCGGCCCTCCGCCTTACAGTTGAGAGTCGTGGGCTCTCCCTTCGAGACGATGACATCAGAAGGGTGCTCCACAATCCGCGGGGGGAAGTCTTCCTGGCGAAGACGCGATCCTGCAAAACAGGACAAATAAAGGCAAGCTTTAACATTGCCTTATCTCAACCTTCCGTTTCACTGAGGTTCCTGATGGTGAAATTAAACTCTTCAGTTATTCAATTGAATAGTATTTTATGTTTCGTTTTGTGTATGCATCTCAGAAGTCATCTCAACTCCTTTGTAGAATGGGGCAATCTACCAATAAATTAATATGTTAACTCAAAGGACTTAGGTTCAATGTGTTCCATGAATCATGACAAGCAGAAGTAAAAGAGGACAAGAGACCTTCTTGTTCTTCTGGGATCAGCACGGGTACTAAGATGAGTAACACTAATTTCCCGTCCTCAGATTGCTTGTTATATACTGAGGAAGAAAGTCACGTAAGCAAGCACCTAGAAGACACACATAGATAATGTGCTGCCAATGTGTTATCAGACTAACGCAAAAAGAGACCTGCAAATTATGTACAAATATTATCTGCATTTAACAGATGAGGCAAAAGCTTAGTAAATGATGTCATTTGCCCAGAAATGTAGATGAAGCAAGCAGTAGAGGCAGGCTTTTGAACTCAGGTGTGTTTGACTGAGGAGCTCAAGTATAAATCCGTATGTTAAAATGTAATATGCTGCATAGAGATATATAAGAAATGCACTATAGGCAGAAAGAAAAAAAATTAAAAGTTAACCCTAAATTAGGCATAATAAGAGATCTCTTCCCCCAAAAAAATTATATTTAGATGGAGCTGTAAAGAATGAAAAATGACAACTAAAAGAAAAAAGCATCATGTCAAGAGATACCATCAGCAAAAAGACAAAGAAATGAGAGTTATGTGCATGGTACGTTTCATAATCAGGAAGGAAGCTGATATGGCAGGAAAAGGTTTGAGGCAGCCTGGGAGCCTGAGACAATGGGCTTTGTACCGTGCTCAGGAGAGTGTGATGTTATTTTACATGGCTCCCAGATTCTTAAGGGAGCAGTGACATGACTATCTGTATAACTGAAAGATAGTTTTAGTCTGCATTATCAATAAGGGATAGCAATGGAGACATGAAGACAGCTGCAATTTACTTAAATAGTTCAAGAGAAAAATAAAAAGAACCTGACCTTGGGAAATGATGGTTTAGGTGGAAAAGAAGAAGGAAAAATGCACTCTATCGAAATGCTTGACAGAATTTGGTATATCACCATACACAGTACAAAGAAAGAGAGATTGTACCAGTGACTTCCCGGTGAATGCAATACAAGTGGGGCCATAAGGGGTGTAAGAAATCAGAAGAGAGGCCGGGCACGGTGGCTCACACCTGCAATCCCAGCATTTTGGGCGGCCGAGGCGGGTAGATCACCTGAGGTCAGGAGTTTGAGAACAGCCTGCCCAACATGGCGAAACCTCATCTCTACTAAAAATGTAAAAACTTAGCTGGGCATGGTGGTGGACGCCTATAATCCCAGCTACTCGGGAAGCTGAGGCAGGAGAATCGCTTGAACCCAGGAAGCAGACGTTGCAGTGAGCCAAGATAGCGCCACCACAATCCAGCCTGAGCGACAAGAGTAAAATTCTGTCAAAAAAAGAAAAAAAAAAAGGAGAAAAGAAAAGAAATAGGAAGAGAAGGATCTGTTGATATTTGTCATTTATATGGTGTCAATTACCATTATTCATGAAAATGTTCTACTAGCTGCTCCAAGTAAATAAAAAGGAGATGCTGAGAGGAATCACCATATATGGGGACATAATGATTATATAGATAAGCACTTCTTAAAAGTTTGCTCTTATGTAAGACTTTCCAACCAAGCACCTAATATGAGCACATTTCTCTTCAATAGATAGCAGTAATATTTACTTCTCAATGTTACCTCAGTTCACGCTCAATATTAATTGAAAATACATATTTTAATGTATTAAAGGGAATTTAATTCAGTCTTAAATAAACTTTTTTTTTTTTTGAAGAGGATTAACTATCAAAAGTTGCTGACTATTTTTTTAATCACATTAGACCAAAAAAGAATGTATACATTACAAGTGTTAGATATCTAAAGCAAAAGAGTAATTTATGGTCTACAGGTCAGACATTTTTTTACAAAACTGAAGAGATCCAAAGCATATAGATAGGTAATTGTAGTATACATCACAATAATAAAGGTTATAGAGCATGAGTACCGGGTCTTAAAGCAATCAGGAATTTACAGAATATAAAAGTAACAAGGAATTTTTAAATTCATACTCAAGAAAGACTTCAAAGTTTTAAAATATGAGTGGCTGAATATAAGTAGCTTGCAAATCAGAAACATATTCTCAATGTAAATGTCTGGATACATAGCCATAGACTCTGATCCTAAAATACATCAAGAGTTTTATGTCACTTTTCATGTAACAGGCATATAGTAGGTTACAATCATCTCTTTAGATAGCCTCTTTGTTCTCCTTTAATCTCCCTATGCACGGTGACCTACATTCTCCCTACTGCAAAAACTGTTCTACTATTAAAAGTAAGCAAGTAAATCATCCATGCTACTAGGGTGCTATTTACTATATCAACTTGTTCCCTAACTTATTAGGCAGTAGGCCTGGATAAGGGCTGAATAAGACCTGAAATACACTAATACTTATTAAATAAAATATAAAATAATTGATTTATAAAAGAAAAAGTGACAAAATAGTTAAGCTATTCAGCAATAAGATTTAAAATCCAGTATGTCCAATGAGCACACAAAGAATTTTACTCATTTATCATTACAATATATGTAAACTATGTTACCTAGAGATTACAGTACTGTCATGTCAGGATACTCATCTAGTAGTTTTACTCCTACTTTAATAAAAACATCAAAGAACATCTACAACCTAAATATACAAAGTAAAACTATGAAATGATTACAAGAAATTACAGAGGCAAGTTTTTATGATTTTGAGTTAGGTGATGGCTTCTTGGATATGATACCAAAAGCACAAGCAACAGAAGAAAAAAAGAGATAAACTGGACGTTATAAAATTTTTAAATACTTGTGCTTGAAAGAATACTACCCAGAGAATCAGAAAAAAATATACAAATCATATACCTAACAATGGATTTATGTCTAGAACATAGAACGAACTCATAGAATAAAAATATAAATAATCAAATTTTAATATAGGCAAAGGATTAGAATAAGTAGTTAGACAAATTTGTCAAAGAAGTTAGACAAATAGTGATAACCACATAAAGAGATATTCAACATCATTAGCTATTAGATAAATGCAAAACAAAACTACAGTGAAATACACTTCACACCCACTAGGATGTATATAATCAAAGCAATGTAAAATAACAAGTATTGTCAAGGGTGTGGAAAAACTGAAAACCTCATCCATTGCTGGTGTGAATTTAAATCGTACAGTCGCTTTGGAAAACAATCTGGAAGTTCCTCAAAATGTCAAACATGTAGTTACCATATGACCCAGCAATTTCACTCCTAGATATATATCACCCCAAAATGAAACCATACATCCACACAAAACTCACTCATGAATATTCATAGCAATATTATTCACAATAGCCAAAAAAGTAGAAACAACCCAAATGTCTACCAACTGAATGGATAACAAAGAATGAATCAACAAAATAAATGTCCATGATGAATAAATAAAATGTGCCATATCCATATAATGGAATATTATTCAGCCTTAAACATGAAGTATTAGTAATACATGCTGCAACATAGATGAACTTTGAAAAAATAAGTGAAAGAAGCTAGTTGCAATGGACCATATATTGTACGATTCCATTCACATGAAATGTCCACAGTAGGAAATCCATGGACGTAAAATGCAGATTAATGCTTGCCTAGGGCGGGGGTATGGAAGTGGGGAATGAAGGTGGCCTGGGAAAGTGCTGCCAATGGGGATGGGATTTCTTTAGGGATGATGAACATATTCTAAAATTAATTATGGTGATGGTTGCATTATTCCGTGAATATAATAAAGATTATTATACACTTTGGGTGAATTTTGTGGAATATGAATATCTCAAGCAATTTTTAAAAATTGATAGATAAAAGAGCACTGTGAACACGTTTAATAAAAGGTGTGTAACAATTTGTCCTCACTCCTAACAACAGTTAACGTTATTTTCTTCATTTATAATTTTAGGTTATAATGAAATCATCAGGCCTGCAATAGATCATTAGGACATAAAGTGAACTGTAACAGTCTTGCCAGCCAGATAGGTAGATTAGAGAGATAGAGAGAAAAATAGATTAGAAAGACAGACATAGATATGCAAAAATACAGCTACAATCTAAGTTTTACAATGTTATTAAAAATATGGGGATTCATTCTGAGCTTTCTTAAATTCAGACATTACATAACAATAGCAGTGGTCTTAAATTCAGACATTACATAACAATAGCAGTGGTCTTAAATTCAGACATTACATAACAATAGCAGTGGTCTTTAAGATGGACTCAATGCATAAGTCTTCCGATTCTTTAAAACTTCGGAAAGGAGTAACATTGTGTAAAGGGGAGGCAGCAGTGGTGGTGTGGGGTGGAGGGTGTAGCTTTCATCACATTCCCAAAGAGGGTGGGCCTTTAAGATTACCAAGGAGCACTAAACTACTGGGTATTCTGTGTTATCGGCTAAAACAACTCCATTATTTGGTCAAAAACCAAAGCTGAGTTGTCAGCAAAACTCACTGGGGACTGAGAACAGAACAGTAAGGGGGAGAGGAGGTTGTTTGTCACATGAAGTGCCATGAAGCAGCTCAACCTCAACATTTCGGGAATCTAAGTGTGAGCCCCTCGACTAGCAACAGAAGCATGATCCGAAGGCACATTCGAAATCGAGGATCTCAGGCCCCAACCCGCATATCTCAGATCTGAATCTGCATTTTACCAAGATTCCCCTGTCTTCATCAGGTATTTGTATGCACAATACCGTTTGATAAGCACTGCGCACACCAGTTTTTGTATGGCTCTGAGCTAACGATGCTTTTAAAAGAAGAGGAGGAGGAAAGGGAAGAGAAGGGGGATGAGGAGGAGGAAG